TCTCCCGCTCCAGCTCATCTCTTATTTCATTCGTCTTCGCCATCTGAGTTTAGCGGTGTGCAGGCAAGTAAGGAATATACAGACAAATAAAGAAAAAGAAAATGGGAGAAAAAAAAGAAGAACAAGGATATTTGGGGATACGACCAAGAGTCGAACAAGACAAGTCATTTTAGTTGTTTTATTGCTCCCAATAACTTACGTCATACCAGACACTCCAAATATGTCATTTTCCTCCGGATCGCGAATTCTATTTCAAGAACGATGCCCACGACTGAGACGCTCCCAGACAAAGTGGACAGTGTGCCTTTGGAAAACAATGATTCTCGGCAAAGAAACTATCTTTAGTCGAGATTTTTCAACTTAGAACATGTCGCCCAAATGGCCTGAGCCAGTACCGCAATACTGGCCCGAATGTAAATAAGGATGATTTTAAATTCTGGTTGCAGAAACCATTTTGTGTGCCGGCTTTTTTGGTCTTCTGTAGATTAAACGCTCTCTCACTTCGCGTTTCAGAATTTAATAAACCGTCATTGAATGTGCACAGAGACAAACTTCTATGAGGACAAGGAAGAAGACGTGTCGAGCACCGGATCAATTGATTTATTATCCTGAGCTTTTGAACTCTTACAGGAGTCCATCTTCACAAGGAAAGCCTACCTCTAAGGCCCATCGTCTCCCTTCGCGGCATCTCTAGGTACGGTTTGGCAAAATGGATGTTCACTCATCTCAAGTTCCTGGCAATAGGTTCGACAACAACCGTAGTTTCTGCCAAACAGTTCCTTGGATGAATAAAACATCTGAAGTTAGAGCCAGATGAATCCATGGTATCCTTCGCTGTTGTTTCACTCTTCACCTCTATCCCACAGCAACTAGCAATTTATGTTGTGAGACAACTTATAACCGAAAGCTACGACGAGAACAATAAAACCCTGAAGTCTGAACAATTGCTACGACATTGCCTCAAAACCTACTTTACATTTGGTGAACAAATTTATGAACAAATTAAAGGCACTCCCATGGGCTCCCCCCTATCAGGCCTGATTG